TGGATATAACAGTTTCGTTTGATATGTACCGGCTAGTTGGTACCGTGAATTATGTAGGGAGGAAAAAGAGATGGGTAGTAAATCAATCACTATCACTTTCATAATCATCCGAGTTGTTTTCAGAATCGATTTCTGATTCGTTTTCATTTTCAGAGACGATTCCATGGTAGTTTCGTTCGCCAATTAGTCCTCTCTCGAACAATATATGACGGGGGACCATGCGGGGCAAGATAAGGTCGATAACTCTCTCGTTGTTTAAAAGGTCATCGCACCACACGTCCATGTGCGAGAGCTTGTAAAGGATGGGCATGCCGTTGACCATTATGGGCGACTTCAATTGGAACCTTAGCTTCCTGTAGTCAGAGTAGAATGGCTCAAGAGTAGTTATGACATCCTCATTTGACCATACCACCCGAATGTAGAGCATTATCAATGCTGTCAAGTATTTGAATTCTTTAGTGCCCAATTGATGCAAACACATTTCAATGATGTCCCGAGATGGCTCTAACTCCAATAAACGAAGAAAACAGCAAACGAACGGAGTTGGTTTTCCATTGGCATTAGTACTTCCAATGTATTTGACCTGACTAGTGATTATGGGCAATATGGTCGCTTCATTGGTCAAGTACAAATATTGCTTGTAAAAAAGCGAATCTTGGATCCGGTGTCTGATAATAGGCTCCACCAAATAGGCCTTACGTATGACATTGCTCTTGTCACTATAGGACGCTTGTTTCTTTGAATTTTCCATGCTTATTTGCATTCATTATTCTTGTTCTCCAGTATAAGAGCCAAATTTTCATCTACAGCTGATGCGCATTTTCAATAATACTACTATTAAAATACATAAGACATCGCTATTTAAATAATAATGGCACCGAGATGCCTCAGATAACACTAGTCGCGAGAAATTATTACGAATGGTCTTCGTCATCGTCGTCTTCTTCGTCTGCCACGTCAATTTTGTCTAAGCTTTCAGACAACGCAGTTAATTTCTTGTAACCAACTTCGAAGAACAGTTTTTGAGCATCTACAAAGACTTTCAACAAGGAAATTGACTTTGATGGTTTCAACAACTTTTTCATCTCAGTGACTGCGACCTCGGTTGCACTCACGTACTCGTCTTCGCATTTAATCAAATCTTCGTTCTCTTCGTCTTCGCCCACAGTGGCTCTCATCGAATCAAAGTCCAGTCTTACCGCATAGACTTTCTTACGCAATTCGTTGACCTTGATGAATTGCTCGTTCAAAATCAGGACCAACTTAGCGTTCAATTCGTCCATCACTGTTTTGTCCATGTCTAATCTTGCGTTAGCGATTTCTAAGTACGACGACGATACTTGCATCAAACCCAACGACAAGGCATTGCTAGACTCCTTGAAGTCTTGGCTGTGTTTTTCGGCGAATTGCGAGAGGTGCCCATAGAAAGTCTTTGGAATCTTAACTGAGGTAGTTTGGATTTCTACCTGATCGTCACCGTTAGCTTCTTTGTCTTTGGCTCCCATCAAGATATTTTCAAATTCCTGAGGAGACGAAACATTTTTTAATTGGGTGAACTTGCTCGAAATCAATCCTCCAACATTAGCGTCCTTGATCTTGGCCAATGTATAGTTGGCTGGAGGATAGTCGTATGATACGTTGGCAAATGTGTCATTGTTGAATTGGATTAATTCGGTATACAATTTCAATAATAAGTCACAATTGGCTTCTAATTGCAAATATTCAACCGGTAATTCACTGACCTCAACGTTGGCACCATTCATGAACTGGGATGTCTTAGTTGCAAATGGCTGGAATGACTCTTTGAACTGGTCGGAGTATTTACCAGGATTCACCTTCTGGATGGACTTGGAGAGATTTTCATAGTTTAACGATTCCTGAATCGACAGCAAATCAAATGGAAGTTTAAATGACATTGTAGGAGTAAAATTCTGTATTGAATACTATGAAGTATCGGTACATAAAGGGTTTGAACCATTTGTACTCTATATCTTGATACCGAAAGTCGAAGTCAGACGGGTGTCGTGCACGGACGCAAAACAATAATACCTGGTCATATCTACGATGAAAGCACTATTATACGTGTCTCCCAGGGACCTGGGAGACACGAAGAGGATCTCAGATACTACTACTGTATTAGAGAGGCATAAAGGAACTTCAAATGGTCTCAAACACCCACAAGCATGTTTGTAGAGCTATAAACCGTTGTTCACCCATCACTACGTGTACAAAAGAAGATATTGAAGAAATACGGTCGACAAATGCCAGCATAGGGCCACCAATGTACCCTCGATGGTCAAATCGAATATCGAAACTATATTGAGTCTGCATTGTTAGTATTAAGTTCGGAAAGAAATTTGAGCATAAAAGCTAGTACATCAGATATTTTCTACTATCAAAGACAACTCTTCATTTGTAAATCAGTTGTCCCTATCAAATCATCATCATATGTACAATGTATATCAAATAAACATACGGTTAGACGGTGTTAATCTGCATTGTTGAATGAAAGAACTCATTATCGTCAAATAGTGAAAAATTTCCGATGGGACATAAATAGCGGCTCAAAGCCGGGTAAGTTTACACCAAATTACATAATTGTAGGTCTAGCAAAGCTAAGTAGTACTAAATAACGATCCGAAACAGCCATCTACACTCTAAGAAGGTCCAGAGACATAGTTAAGAGATACTGAAGTGATAACACTTGACATTGCGGGAAAAAATCACCGAGATTACAGAAAATAGCATTAGGACCAAATCAGAATTACGGACAAAAATAGACACAGAACTCAGTTGATATAACCGATTATAGACTACACGTTAAAGGCAAAATAGAGTAATATGTTTCATTTAGCATCGTCGTTATACACACAGTACACCAAACGCGAGCAGTATAATGTTTTGATACTTGGGTTGGATAATGCGGGCAAAACCACCTTTTTGGAGCACCTCAAATTGTTGTATGCTACGCCAAATGAGACCAAGAAGGCCGAAGGGGGTCCCGATACTACCGAAACCATCAGATCGAAACGGATCTTACCGACAGTGGGACAGAATGTGGCTACTATCAAATATGAGGGAACGGACTCCCATCAGTTCGCCAATATCAACTTGAAATTCTGGGACTTGGGAGGCCAGAGATCATTACGGAGTATGTGGTCCCGGTACTACAAGTCGTGCCACGGGATCATCTTTATCATCGACTCGACGGATACCGAGCGGTTCCACGAGTGCTACGAGACGCTAATGGAGATCACCCACGACCAATCGTGGTGTGACGAGAACAACGGGTTCGACTTTGTCAACGTACCGATCCTCATGATGGCCAACAAGCAGGACTTACCGACAGCCGTCGACTTGATCTCGTTGAAAACTGGCTATTTCATCGACTTGGTAAGTGAGCTTGAGGCCACGGACCTGAAGCTCTTGCCGGTGTCCATCTTGGAGAACCAAGGGCTTCGCGAGAGCTTGGACTGGTTGGTAACCCGTTTAGTGTACAATAAGGCGAACAAGATGCCCCAATATAAGTAGCGATGATCGTGTTAGCAGCTGGCAGTCGTAATCGATTTCATCTCGTTTTTCAGTCTCTGCAAGATCTTTCTCGTTCACTATATACACAAATATTGTGGCTTCCATGCATCTGACCGTGGAACCAACCAAACGGCTGTCTTTCAACGGCTGTCCATTGGATTGCCCACCGGATATCTCTCTCGAGGCCTTGCGCTTGCTATGCACTATGCAAACGTCTTTTGATCACCCGTCTACAATGCCTACAATCAGGTCCCCTGCACGAATCATCCTCCCACAACCATCGGTTCCTGACACTCAATGGCATCGCGGTCACCCACTGCGGTGTCCTCATCCTCAATCCGACGTCCCTTGGTCCTATTTCTCGTCTCATCGCCATCGGACATGCAACCTCCCCCTACCATTTCGTCATCTTGCTACCATTATGCCTCGAGGCCGCACCAGTACACCCATAGAACTCAAATATACACCTATACACCACGAAATTCTCGGCTATTTGATTGCTATCACCCCAATACACCCATACTTAGCCCCTAGATATCGTATCGTAACTTTATACCATATACTTCATTCCTTTGTCACAATACTCCATACATGTCTGTCCATCGCAGCCTCTGTATTACCAGCTACTCTACTTCACAACCACTGCTCCCCATTTTCTTTTCCCATCCCCCTAGCCAGCACCTTGTCGATATCCTTGTACAGCGACTGTATGTACCAGATCTGCAATAGAAGAACAGGGTCACCCGTGTTTCATTCCATCCATCCACCATACATATGTAGGCTTCAAGCGGCTCGTTTGGTCCCAGTCCAACGCATTGGCATCCGTCCAGCATCCCTTTAGTACGGCCGAGGACATCGCGTGTGACAATGCCACTATGACGATCAATTGGCTTGTCAAGAAGAATCGGACCAGAGAGTTGGCTCACTAGAGAGGTACCACAAGTGATACTACAAGCCTATACTACACCCTTTATACCATAAAAGCTCGCCGGACATAAGTCTACCCAGCCCCCGACTTGAACCGTGGCACCCAAACCTCCTTGACGTGATGTACGCAACGTAATTTCGCATTCGTTATAGTTGCGGAGTTAATATGTAGCAATAAAACAAGCATCATGATGGCTTATTGTACTACAACAATTAGGTGGAAAATTTCACAATAGTTGCTGTGAAAGTCATGAAATTTTAAATTCATATATATAGGTTGTCAGTAGTAATATAGGTACTTCATACTAAACCCGACTCAATTGCACCACAATTAATATTCATTAATTTATTCATTAATATTTATTAACTTTTATTACTTTATTAACGGATTAACTTAATTAGTTACTTAACTTAATTAAACTTAGACATAATTAAGCAATTAAGCAATTGATCAATTGATAATACACAATTGATAGTAATTGAAGATATAAAAGGATTTAGTAGGATATTTCTTGCACAATTGAAAAATTCACACTAGAAATATGTCACAGGAAGAAAAACATGGGCTTTTGAACAAGTTGAAAAAGCCGTTCAGATCCCACTCGAGATCGTCGAGTATGAATTCAGAAAAGGCTCCTGGCAGTGCTGGTACTGGAACCAGCAGTGGGAGCAAAAGGGGCTCTTCAGGGGCTACAGGGGCTACCAGTGGTGGTTCAGGAGCTGCTGGGGCTTCAGGAGCAACTAACGGGAGATCGATAGAAGAATTGGCGTACCAAGAGGGACGCAAAAAGGCTGAAATCGAAAGAAAGGGAGGTTCAAGCTCAGGAACAGGTTCGGGTGCAGCATTGGGTGCTGGAGCCGGAGCTGGAGCCGGAGCTGGAGCTGGAGCAACAGTTTCCTCCCCATCGAGTAAAAGTTATAGATCTGGACAGTCGTACGATGATGCCGACACGGTATTGTCATCTCCAAAAGGACGGGTGGTTAGACATCCGCCTAAAATCCACAGACAACCGGTGGATAAGGATGTGGGAGGCGACTTCGCCAACCAAAAACTGCCAATTGACGATAGTTTGGTGAATTCCGAGCATTTTGGAAATGGTGCTGGAACTGGAGCCGGTGCTGGAGCCGGTGCTGCTGGAGACTCTGGCGTTAATACCACTGGAACTGGAACTGGAGCCGGTTCTAGAGGAACTACTGGAGCTGGAGCTGGAACGGGAGCCAAGTCCGACTCTACCAACACCGTTGGTGCTGCTACCGCTGGAGCTGTTGCAGGAGCTGCTGGAACCGCCGCATATGCTGGTTCTAGAGGACAGGATAATAACGGAAACCATGGTGTAATAGAAAATGCCCACCCTTCGTACAGTGACGATGCAAACAAAAGAGAAGGAACTGGAGTCTTCTTCGATCCAAGAGATACCCAAGGTGGTATTTACGGTAATAATAACGGGGGTGAAATGAGTGAAGCCACCAAGGCCGAATTAAACAAGCAACGTAATTTGAAAACTCATCCTTCGGCTTATTACGAAGAACAGAAGCAAAAGGAACAACAAAAGAGTGTCATTGATGACATTAAGAACAGTGCATATAACGAGGGCCAAGCCCAAGGTTCGCGTGATGCTAAGGCAGAACAATATCAAAAGGACCAGACAGCTGGAGAATCAGGTCAGGAATCACCATCCAAGCATAATGATCCTGAATCAGAACATGCGAAGAATAGATCAGCGTGGAATAGAGATGGTGTAACTACCGCAACCGCTGAAGCCAAAGGACAAAGTGGTACTAATACTTCAAATTCGCTGTACTCTGAAAGAGGTTTAGGTACAGCAGCGGCTGGTGCTGCCGCTGGTGGTGCTGGTGGTGCTGCTCTTGCTTCTCATTCCAACAAGAATGCCGCCGCCGATGATGATGCCTACGGTTCACGCACAGGTGCTGCTGAGGGTGCTAACAAGACTTACAGTGCTAATACTAGTGCTGTAGGTGCTGCTAATGCTAACGCTGACCTCTCTGACAGTGATTACGACTACGACAGACAAATCAAAGAATTAGATAGAAGAATTGCATCTACACAAAAAGAGATCGACCAAGTTAATTCTTCAGGTAGCGGTGTTTATGGCGCTTCTGCCGGTACACCTAGTACATCTGCCGGTACCTCTGCTCCTGGTACTGCAGGCTCTAAACAAACTGGTCCAACGACTACCGCTGCGACCAGTGGTACAACTGGTCATACTGCCACTAACGAACAAGATGACTCTTCGAACAAGGGTATTCTTGCTGGTACAGGTATTGCAGCTGCTATCGCAGGAGCTGCTGGCTATGTTGGTTTAGGTAAGCATAATGAGAAATCTACTGTTGATGATGCATATGGTCAGGGTGTCAAGGCTGCATCTGCTGATACAGGTGCTTCTAAATCAATCTTGGATGAAGCTTACAAGCAGGGTATTATATCTGGTTCTTATGATGCTGGTAAAAAACATTTCAGAAAGGACTCTAGTCAGAGTAATTCTGCTGCTGGTTCTAGCTCTACAGCACCCGGAACAGGTGCTTACAAGGGTAAGGATGTGGCAACGACTGACATTTACCTGAAGCACACTTCAAATACTGGAGCATCTGGTGAAACCGATTCCATAAACGATGATTCATCTAATAAGACCGGAATTCTCGCTGGATCAGGTATCGCTGCAGCTATAGCTGGTGCTGCTGGTTATGTTGGCCTCGGCGGGAAATCCCATGAAAAGGAGACTATCGATGAAGCTTATGAAGAAGGTGTAAAGGCGGCATCGAGTTCGCCCAATGCTGATAAAGTACATGAAACTAAGCCAGAAGCATTTGTAAAAGATCCTAATGCGGTTTCCAATACAAATCGTCAAGCAGATCCATCTTCATCAGGTAGAGGTGCTAATGCTGCTACTGGCGCAGCAGGTGGTGGTGTTCTTGGTGCAGCCGCAGCAATGGCATCTAATACTTTAGGTTTTGATTCTGATGATACCGAAGATGATTCTAGGAACCGTGCATTGACAAAGGGTTCTGAGTATGGTTCTAACAGGAATAAATACGACCCATCTAGTTCAACCGGCGATGCAGAAATTAATGATGATGGATCAACGAAACCTGGTGTCCTTGGTGGGGTCACCGGTGCAATTAGTGCTGCTGGGGCTGTTGCTGCTGCCAAAGTGGGTTACGGTAGTCCATCTCCTTCTGACGTTATTAATGAAGCTTATGAAGCGGGTAGAGAGAAGGGTATAATTAATGAAGCTTATGAAGCTGGTAGACAACAAGGTTCTACTGGGACACCTTCTAGTAAAGCCGCATATGGATCTAGCGCTAGCTCAAAGACTTCTAGATCGATCGACACCCCACAATTACAAGATGTCGATGATGAAGAAGAAGACGACGAAGAAGATGAAGATGAGGCTAATACCACTACCAACTCAACAAGATCTGGTTTACTCGCTGGTGTCTTTGGTGGTGCTGCCGCTGCTATGGGATTATCGTCACTTGACAGATCAGATTCCAACAGAAGCGGCATTGATCCATCTAAGGTTGACAGCCAGAAGGATACAGTTCCTAGAGAAGACCTTGCCAAGACCAATACAGGCAATTCGTCTGGTAGTGGCATCTTAGGTGCTTTTGGTTTTAACAAGGGAGGCGAAACTTCTCAAGGAAATTTAATTGATGCTGCCGATGAAGGTAAGGACGTCAAGTCCCAACCAAAACATTCGGGAGATGCTGGAGGTCTTGACTCTACCAATCTAGACACATCAGATCGTGGTGATGGTGTACAAAAAGTTCCTAACTTACCTTCCTCTGGTGCCGAAACTGGCAAACCAGATACCAATACGACTGAAAGTTCAAGGAAAGACACTGTGCCAGATAAGGATTTGGCCAAGGAAGATGTAACTGATTCTAAGGACAGTAATAAATCTGGTACGGGTATTGGTGCTGCAGTAGGTGCAGCAGCTGGTGCAGCGGCTGGTACTCTTGGTTATTCTGGTAGTGAAAATGCTACAACTCATAATGATGGTAGCTTAATTGATCCAGCTGCAAGGAACTATGAAGATGTTGCGAAGGCACCTTCTCATGGTGGGGATGCTGAACGTGATATCAAAAAACCAGACGAAGATGTTGAAGGAAAGTCTGATGATGAGCCAAAAACTTCAGAAAATTTTGGTCAAACGGAGGCGGACGTAGCCGCTTACAATAAAAAGCATGGAGTTACTGACGACAAGAGATCTTTGATTGAAATTGCCGAAGGTGCTTCTCCAGAAATTAAGAATATGGAGGCCCACCATGGTGCATCGGTTGGTAATGAAGCTGGTGATGAAAATGTCGCTGCTTCTGGTGACGGAGTTCAACCTGTCCCAAAATCTGATCTTCAGCATCACAATAAATTTGTTGCAACAGGTGGTAAACAAGGTGACTTGAATGAGAAGGCAGCCTCAGGTGCTAACACCAACCCAAGTGAACTTGATGCCAAAAAAAAAAGTTCGACCAGTGAACTGAGCCAATCTCTGGAATCTGCAAGTGATAAGTCCAGTAACCAGGGCCTTAAGGGTGCAGCTGCAGGTGCATTAGCAGGTGCAGCAGGTGCCGTGGGATTGTCATCAGCTTCGGATAAGTCTAAGTCGAATTCGAAGGATGTTGATTCCCATTCTGAATATACACAAGATAAAGGAGACAATAGAAGAGGTCAAGAACATACCACTTCGACCAGAGACACAACTGGTGTCGCTACTGGTACCGGAGCTGGTGCTGGTGCTGCCCATGGTGCAAGCCAAGGATCTTCAAGTAAGAAGTCTGGTACCACTTTGAGCGGAAATGAGTTATATGAATATTATGAGGCGGGTATAATTCGTGGTTCATACGAAGCTGGCCAGATTTTAGGTGCTGAAGAAGCTAGCTTGGCTACATCTAAGGCCGAGCAGCATACCGGTGCAGCTGGCACTCGTGAACCAACTGATTCAAACTCGTCTGATTATAGTAGGGCTGCCGCTGGTGCCGCTGGTGCTGGAGCTTTGGGTGGTGCTGCAGGCTATGGATTATCTTCATCTGGCAAAGATGTTAATGCTGATCCTTCTGCAACAGCCTATGGTTCTCAATACAAGGCCCCCTTACATGATTCTTATGGGCAAGGTGTTAAAGAGGGTTCCCATTCTAAGGGCGTTGAAGAAGGTGCTTACTCTAAGGGAGTTGAAGAAGGCGCCTATGCTAAGGGAGTTGAACAAAGTGCGTATGAATCTGGCAATATTGAAGGCGCCAAAGATACATCTTCAGGTGTATCAGCAGGTAAGAGTGCTGCTGTCGGTGCCGGTGTTGGATCTGGTACTGGCTTAGCTGCTGGATCTGCGTATGGGGCAACTCATGGCAAATCTAGTAAGCAAAGTAATTTAAATAGTAATGAATTATACGCCTTCTATGTTGCTGGAATTATCCAGGGCTCATACGAAGCAGGACAGATAGCGGGAGCTGAAGACACGAGTTTGGCATCTGGTCAAGGTCAAAAATCCCAGTCTGATACTACCCATGGACACGGTCTTGGTGCCGCTGCTGCCGGCGCAGTCGGTGGTGGGGCTCTTGGAGCAGGCGCTGGTTTGGCAGCAAGTTCCAAGGACAAAGGTCCAGAAGAAAGTAATTTACTTGTTGAAGTTATTGGTGTTAAAGATGAGCAAGCAGCATCAAAGATTGCTCACCAAGCATCAAAAGAACTTAGTGCTCAGGGAGTTGACTTGACACACGGTAAATTAGTTATTAACACACAAACTAAAGAGGTCTATAAGACCGATGATGTTAATAAAAGAGTGGGTGAAAACACCAACCACTCTGGTAGAAATGCTTTGGCTGGTGGTGCTGTTGGTGGTGCTGCGGGTGCTGGTTTAGGCCAGTCGACTGATAGGCAAGGTGGCTTTTCCCCAAGAGAAAGTCAGAAAAACCTTGAATCGACCGATCCAAACGATCACCATGATGAACATCAAAAGGCAAAAGAAAGATTGTCCAAGGCAGCTAATGCAGGTGTTTTAGGCAACGTCCAGCCTTCGGGAGCAGGAAACCAAACTCAACATGAAAGAGAGTATGATCCTTCTGCTGGTCAATCGCAATCACATCACGGCTTGAAGGCTGGCGCCGCTGGCGCAGGTCTTGGTGCAGCCGGAGCAGCAGCAGCTGCTGCTTATGGTTCCAATTCCCGTGATAGTGGTGCCCATAGAGGATACGAAGGTGGAACCACACCATCTGATAGATCTGCCGGAAACTATTCGACAGGTGACCAGGATACTGCTGGTCACACTGGTCAAGGTATTTCTAGTCGCGAAGCTATGGGTCCTGGTGCAACAGGCCAAGGATCCACAACCGGCCACACTGGTGTAGACGCAGCAAGTAAGCAATCAGATGGTTCGGATATTGTGGTTACAGTTCAAGGTACTAAGGATAATGCAGAAGCTACCAGAATTGCAACCCAGACTGTTGATGCTCTTAAGAAGCAACCTTCCGTATTAGCAGCAGTTAAGGAATTAAGAATTGATGCTAATACTGGAATTGTAACAAATGAGCACGGTAAGAGAATTGATTTAGCCCCATCAAGCGGACATACACACCATGAAACTCAGGATACAAGTTCATCTCAAGGTATTGGTGCTGGATCTGCTGCTGGATTAGGTGCCGGTGCGGCTGGATTAGGGGCAGCCGGTACCTATGGTGCCCATAAACGCTCAGACGAAACAGGCCATAATCAACAGCTAGGCTACCAAGACATTCAAGACTCCAGATCAGGTGCTTATGGTGCTCATCAAGCTGAAGTTACTGGCCATAACAATCGTGACCTTCAACAAGGCTACCAAGACTCCCAAGACTCCAGATTGGGTAGTTCTGGTACTAAACAAGGTTACGAAGATTCCTACAACCAAAATAGATCCAGAGACGCTCATTCTAATGCCTCTGTAGGTTTAGGTGCTGCTGGTGCTGCTGGCGCTACCGGTGCTTATGGTGCTCATAAATATTCCCACCAAGATACCCAAGACTCCAGATTGAGTAACAGAAGTGGTGACATCTATGAAGATGCCTACAATGAGGGCTATAAGCAAGGATCTTACAGACAAACTGGAAGTTCTGGCTACAATTCTGCTAATGTCGGTGGTTCCAATTACACGTCGGCTACTCGTGGCAACGCTCCAGATCAAGTTGCCCCAACTACAGCCTCCACCCAACCACAACAATCCGAATCTAGCGGTTTACGTATGCCTGGAAGTTTCTTCTAGTTTACACTCTTTATTCTTTTTATGTTTTATTGTTTTTGATTTAGTTTGCTTTTCTGTATTATTTACTTAATAAAATTGTCTTAATATAGTTTCCGTCGTAGTTCTCAGCATATTTGATCACTATATGTGAGTATTAGGGCGACGATATCGAGGTGTGAGGTATGCCCTTCCACAGTTCCAAGGAAATCTTCATCAATATTTTCATCATAGTGATTTAAAAAACCACCACACTGTATGGATTTTGCAAACTGGTCTTCTGAATAAACCTCTGTTCAACATTTTAGCCAATGAACATATCAGGATGGTGAGCATAATATTCATCATATAAATATCCTGCCAATCCATCAAAATAGGTACAAGAGCCACATCGTTTGGGAATTTATTTAAGCTGTAAACAGGTATCTCTGGACGGAATATTTGGAAACCACATGCATGGAACGATATAATTACTGATGATAAACCTACTCAAAATAGCTCTTAGAATCCTCACTTTATTATTAACAATGATATCATGCTCATAGATCTTCATGGCAAACTCGAAATGAAACAATATACCTCGTACTATAAATCTAGTTATAAACTCATAGTGGTTTTCACTCTCATCATTTCAGTTTCTTCATTTCTCAGAAGCATGTTTATGGAAAAAGCAGTAGCTCCAGTTTGGGCCATTTCAGCTACTTAAGTAGCATCCGTGCGACACTGCCATTGAGCCATCATTCATTGTTGATCTGCCTCATATTGGCGTCACGAACATAGAGTTAAGTTTAGGCAAATATTAAGTAGATAACCAAGCATTCCTCCAAGGTATTCTATTAGTTTACATTACATTATACATTTCGTGATATTATTGTCTCTCTTGTCATGTATATGTCTAACTCTAATTCATCTTGTACTGAGATATATCTTTATTGCAGAGCACCTTACAATGTTAACACGCTCTACTCAATCAAAAAGTACCAGTTTATATTTTGACCTAGATGAAACATATACTTACACTCATACTAAGGTATAGGTTCTATTATCAAGTAAAATTTGTACTATCGGAGTTTCCCTGCAATATCTCCTTAACCTCGTTGCAGCACTTACCATATGTGGTTATATTTTGCATCCAGCACCCACCGGTCCTATCCTGCCACCTTCCAATCAAAGAAACTCACATGAACTCATCATTCCAGGGGCTTTAGCCCTAGCCTAGGTTCACACTTAACCGAAAAATGGTTTTGTGTAATAAGTCCAGAAATCTGAAAATTTTCACTCACCTCACAGTACCAAACCCAAAATAGTATAGAGAAAAGCGACTAATTTACAAAAAGCTAGTAATAAGGACTTCTTCAAAGTAAACCAAACACTAGAAAATGGGTATGTTACACCAACATGGAAGACTATCAAAAACTATCGAATTATAGAGGGCTTATACGTTGATATGACATGAGATGAGTTGTTGAAAGATAGCAGTTAGCGTGAAAAAGAATGACGGAACCGTCCATGGGAGTGACTAGGAAGATGAATAATGATATTATGATGTTATGATGGTTTGTAATAAAGACCGAAATGACAGTATGATGTTTGTGGATATTATGAGCAGATTATGAATAAATGTTCAAGATATAAGAAATCAAGAGACAATTTCAGTTACGGACATAATTCGAAAGTTGGAGAGACAAGACTTCTTTTAGGAAGAAAGTTATAGAATTGGAATAAGTACTAACAAGTTTATAGGTAGAGTTATTCGTAACCAAAGAAAAGGTGCTGGTTCTATCTTCACCTCGCACACCAGATTAAGAAAGGGTGCTGCCAAGTTAAGAACTTTAGATTATGCTGAACGTCACGGATACATTCGTGGTATTGTCAAGCAAATCATCCACGATCCAGGTAGAGGTGCTCCTTTAGCCAAGGTTTCATTCCGTGATCCATACAAGTACAAATTAAGAGAAGAAACCTTCATTGCTAACGAAGGTGTCTACACTGGTCAATTTATCTACGCCGGTAAGAAGGCTTCTTTAAACGTCGGTAACGTTTTACCTTTAGGTTCTATGCCAGAAGGTACCATTGTCTCCAACGTTGAAGAAAAGTCTGGTGACAGAGGTGCTTTAGGTAGAACCTCCGGTAACTACGTTATTATCATCGGACACAACCAAGACGAAGGTAAGACCAGAGTTAAGTTACCATCTGGTGCTAAGAAGATTCTTTCTTCCGAAGCTAGAGGTGTCATCGGTGTTGTTGCCGGTGGTGGTAGAATTGATAAACCATTATTGAAGGCTGGTAGAGCTTTCCACAAATACAAGGTCAAGCGTAACTCATGGCCAAAGACCAGAGGTGTTGCCATGAACCCAGTTGATCACCCTCATGGTGGTGGTAACCATCAACATATTGGTAAGGCTTCTACTATTTCCAGAGGTGCTGTCCCAGGTCAAAAGGCTGGTTTAATCGCCGCCAGAAGAACTGGTTTATTACGTGGTACTCAAAAAACTCAAGATTAAATTATTTCATAATTAATTTGTTGTATAAAATAATAATGATTAAATAAAATAGTTTTGTGGGTTAGTTTTTATGTCTGCGTTTAATTATATTAAAAATTTTGAATATCATATTGTAGTATCTAGTCATATATAAGTATTATGATACATATGCTACGGCTAGGTATGGATAATTAAGCGACAATCATTTCTTCATTTGGAACACTCTGCCTTGCTTCGTCCCCCTCTTCTTCTCCAAGTGGGGGCTCACTAGGTCTGATCTGCTTCTCAATGGTTTCTTTATATTTGCCCTGAATCTTCTTCTGGGTTTCTTTGAACATCTCAAGCAAAGTACTCGTTTCTGCAGTGGTGTTACCTTTTTGTTCTTGGGCTTCGTCATCTGCCGTTGCTGTTGTTGGTGGTGATTTAGAGGGAACAGCGGTGATCTTTGCCGCATTAACAACTTCTTCGATCTTTGACAAATAGGCAGCTTTCAAGTACACGGCCCTTCCATTGAGTTTCTTTGCATTCAACTCGCTAATTGCCTTAGACAAGTCTTCTTCTTTCTTAAGTGTCACAAGAACACTCACTGTTTTCTGTCTCAACGAAATGGTCCTTTGCATCCGTTTTTGGTTAGCTCCTCTAAAGATAAATACTTGTGTGGGAGAATAATCCTTGAAAAATTCACGGACATCCTTATCAACCGTCTTATCGACAGCATTACCGATAAATATAGTATCATTTGACAATTTCTTCTGTACATATTCATCTTGTACCTTTTTTGGCTCGTCTGTGAACGGAATATCTTCGATATTGATCGACCTGGGAACAGTTAATGCCCCATCAAGGTCTTTTGTATCAGAAGACAATGATTTGTCACTATTGACACTCATGTTGACCTTGTTGCCGGCGTCGCCTATCTTCGCTACACCAGAACTGGTCTTTCTACGCCCAAATATGGGCTTTCCAGTCGGACTGAATGGTACGTGAAGCTTCACAAAGATCTGACGATCTTTAAACAAAGCTCCATTCAAATCTTTAACCACTTTATTAGCTTGCTCTACGCTATCAAATTCAGCATATGCAATTCCAAAAGGCCGGTGCCTGCTGGAACGACTAAACCGAATTGTGTAGCTAGGAATGAGAACGTTTATTCAACAGGATGTTAATACTTGTTCTTTAATTGTCGTAGTAGACTACTAATTCTTACCAAAATGTGTAACTTACGGTTCGTATTCCTTTAAAAATAATTCCAATTCATCTTCAGATGTATTAAAATGAAGATTCTTGATATAGACCCGCAGAGACTTTTTGCCGTTATTGGCAACTTCAAACATTGGCGATTCGGGTATAACTGAAGACATCTCTTTCTTTTTGTTCTCTATTTTCACTTGAGGAAAAAACTAGACTATAGAAGCAAGAATAAACGTATACAAGCGGTTAGTAGTTATTTGTGGTTTAAGGCTTTTTGCAACTTTATGGATACTGGACGTGCACAAACCAGGTCATAATCATTAGGCAATACAAAGTACTACTATACCAACAAAACGACTGCCAGAGAAGCCTGATAATAGGGTACGACTAGGAAAATACAAGACACTGTGTTCATGTCAACCATTTGTCAATGGAGCGTGGACTCGTTGCTACAAAGTAGATTTTGCGATTTCTTACTTACTGTTTATAACAATTTTGAAAAGCTTTATTAATACCTATCAAACCCGTAAAGATCTAAAAACCAAACATGAAACTATACATAATACAAAACGTTGATAATTCGTTCAGTAAGTAAATTAAGCGGATTTTTCAGCACGAGCCTTAGCTAAAGCCTTAGCGGTACCGTGTAAAGCGTATCTGTGGTTACGACGGAACTTAGCGTCAACACCCTTTAAAGAAGGGTACTTGTGAGATCTTGGCTTCTTGATACCATTTCTGTGAGCCTTCTTGGTTTGGTTGTGGGCGGTGTGATTCTTAGATTTAGCCATTTTTCTAAAATATGTTAGTATTACTATCCACCATTTCGGGACACCTCGCAAGGTCTGTCACTGTCAATCTCTGCACTTCCTATTATTAATTTGTATAATTGGGATAGGTTTTCATTTGAATTCCATCATTGAATCTGTAATTCTTCATTTCTGTCCCCCATGTCTATTCTCAACGTTTAGGATTCAAAAACATGGTCTTCATTCTGTATTATTATCTTATATCACTTGAATCCAATCTGTCAATCCGATAGTCTTTAAATTTCATATATCTGCTCTCATATTCATTCCCATATGATTTCAATAGTATATAATAGAATTTTTCACCTTTATGTCCCGTTTATTCCCAGAGATTGTTGGTAGTTACAGTTTCCAGCTGACATCCTCTTATAGTCTCTATTTGTTTTTATAGTCTTAAACATACCCTTATTAACAATAACTTGCTTAATTAACAATATCTATAAGCAATATGATAAATATGTTGAAAAGTCCTAAGTATTCGTCCTCAATCGAGTGAAGATTCGGGTTAGTGTAGGGGAAAAAATTTTCAGTACACAAAAACTGATAATCATAGAGACCACCCTTGTGAAAGTTACCAGGGTTTAGCCCTAAATATGCCCGCTAATAAACTATTGATTAGCATTCAATTGGTGCACAGAGGTTTTCACATACGGAATCGGTTGAAAGACGTGAAATTGTATTGAATAACATATATATAGTATACAGAGATTAAGTGAAGGTCACAAAGCGTAACAGATTTTCAGTAGAACCATGATGGACTTAAGCACGAACTGTAGGATCAACCTCTAAAGCCTTAGCTTTTCTGGCAATCTTGTCGTTGGACTTGGAACCCATGACACCACCACCCCAGTGTTTCTTGGAATCTTCGTACTTCTCAATGAAGTTAGCGTTGATAGTAGAAACTAACTTGGCTAATTCAGATTCATCAGCAGAAGTAACCTCGGTCAAAGCAGCAACAGAAGAAGTCTTTTTGTGAACTAAAGTACCTAATCTGGCCTTACCCTTGACAATGGCATATGGAACTCCCATCTTTCTACATAAAGCCGGTAAGAAGATGACCAATTCAATTGGATCGACGTCGTTAGCAATCAAGACGAGCTTGGCCTTCTTGTTTTCAATTAAGGAAACAACGTGGTTCAAACCGTACTTGACAACAACTGGCTTTGGAGAGGCGTCCTTAGCAGACTTACCATCAGCAACAGCAGCAGCTTCCTTGGTCAATCTTTCCTTCTTTTCGGAGGCGGTTTCTGGTCTGTACTTGTTAAATAACTTGAAGGTTTGAGCTGCGGTGTTCTTATCCAAAGTGTTTTGGAATTGAGCAATTGCAGGTGGAACCTTCAATCTCAAAGACAAAATCTTCTTTTGTCTTTGTAATCTAACGTATTCTGGCCATCTGACAAATCTCGACAAGTTTCTCTTTGGTTGGATATCTTGACCAATACCGAAGTTCTTTGGTCTAGATTCAACCAATGGGTTCTTGGAGGTGGCAGTTTTTGGAGCTTTAGAAGCTAATGGAGCTGGAGCAACTTTCTTTGCAGGCTGTGTCATTGAGTAAAGTTAGTTAAAAGTGTTCTCAATATTAAATGTCAACGAACGATCCTTTTATTACCTTTTACTCTACAGTATCTAAAGATACTCAGCCTGTGCAACAAGAAGTGTATGCACATTCTTTGGTTAAATATATACAAGTAGCCAGTACTTGTATATACAAGTAACCATAATTTCAATTCCAGAGCCTCTCTACTCGAAATGACTAGTAGAAAGTCCTCTGGACATAATTGAAAAAGAACGAATAACATCACTCCTTGTGCACAACCTTCATATTTTATAAAATCTTTAGAGAGGTAGATGCGGAGGTGTTCCAACGTCTTTCAAAAAATAGAACATACCATTTTATGTGTTATTGTATTAGTAGTACTTAAGAAGAAAATAAACTATAGATAAAAATTTGAAAATTTTTTTCAACCGGCCTCGATGATTCCTAGTACTGAAATTTATTAAGCCATACTCATAAATACGTACTGTATCAATTATTTTATAATTATTTAGTTGCAATGAAGAATGGTTAAGCATTCAATGGTCTAAATATAGATAGGATACTTCCTGAAGGATATATGTCTCCTTTTTATAGTCTTTCTTCTTTCATTTGTAATTTTCTTATTAGTTGTATTAGAATATCTATTTTATGCATATATACAAGAATGGCCGTCGGCCTTTAAAAGCTATTTATAACGGAACACAAGTTCATCTTCTATGTAATCGAGTTTCGTAATGTGGAAATCACCGACTAAAACTTGACCAACTCTAAATTCACCAGTATTGAATTTCTCTATAACATTTTGTGTACTTTCCAATGTTGCCTTTAGGTTATTGAATCCTAGTACGTGGACACTGATGTTGCCAAATTTAGGATTACTTTTAAGCAATAACTTAAAAGTGATTGGCTTGGATATCTCTCCTTGGTTGAGTAATTTAAGATATTCTTTGAGGAAAATGCCTTCCCAGAATTTGTTAGAGAAACTCTGCATTTTCTTATTGATAAGTTCGCAAGTTTGTAAATGATTACCCATATAGTACAATTGTGCGTCTTGAATGTTGGATGTAGGTATATCAGCCCTCGACAATAAAAACTCCTCAAACTTCCAGTGGTTAATCATATCGACGAACCTTCTCAATGGTGATGTAACAGTAGCATATCCTTGGAGACCCAAAGATTCATGCGGTTTCTTCTCAACCAGAAACTTTGCTGCAGTTAAAACAGACAAGACTTTTGATATATCTTCGATGCTCAAATCTTCGTTAGTTAAATACTTTCTTTTGGAGATTTCCTGAAGCTTATTCAAAATCGAGTCTTCCAATTTCATTTGTTGACTCCTATGGATTATAGGAATATTGTTTTTAGTTGCAAAAATCGATGCTGCATAATTTGCACTTATCATGAAATGAGATACCAACAACTGAGACTTAGACAGAACACCTTGATCAGCTCCATTAGATATTGAAACTACTGCTTGTTTATTGCTATTCGAAGGATCCTGCACCGCTAGTTCATATCCACCTTCCGATTCTTCGAAATGTTTGTCGCATTTGGCTGTTGTGTAGTCCACCTTAACGGCTGATCTAGGTATAGTCATCTCAAGCCCATTACCAACCATTATTCTTATGTCTTTGAGAATTGTAGAAATATTATACAATTTAAATAAATTTGATGAATGAATATCCGTTGCAGAATTATTCTTGAAGGATTCAAGCTCATTTTCATTATTAAGAATTTCATTTACCTTACTATAAGTAAAGTATTTGGGGAAATTATGAGCCAGATATAATTTAATATCCACTGAAGATTCAATATCCTTTAAAATCTTAGTAGAAAATTCGGTATCAGGTTTGAAGGATTCATCATTATTCTTGCATCTTATGTAGCTGTCGATTGTTGCTTTATCCAATGTATACTGAATAACAAAGGTCCTCGTTTTCGAGGTTTCCCCTAACCCAGCAATCTTAGATATAATATTCGGAAGCATCATGGATGGGCCTTCTGGTAAATATGTGGTAGATCCCTTATTGAAAGCAATATTACTAATAGTCGAAAATGGCTTCAAATAAGATGTAGGATTAGCGACGTGAACTGATAAAATATACTTCTTTCCGTCCTTATCCGTACTTATAGAAATACCGTCATCAATCTCGTGAGCAGTCTCAGAATCAATACAATAAATTGGTGTATTTCCAAACTCTTCCCTAATTTTGTTCAACGGGTCAGAAGTGTAGAAATCATCAGTTAGCTCGATGTCATCATCCGTAGGAGAAACTGCGACATCAAATCCACTTAGGGTTGGAACTGAATTAGATTCTATATGTTTAATAGAATTTCCCCCTTCTACCAATTCCCTTAGGAGATTATCTTTATTGGAGAAAGATTCATCTAAGTATTGATAATAATCGGCGGAAAGATCTGACATCAACAGTACATTGTTATTTGGTAGTTGTAGCGCGTAGGACCAATTGGCAGGATTTTCCCATCCACATGACGAAGGATTCAAAGGATCTTCAAGCATTTGTAATAATTCGAATCCCCGAGCTCTTGAATAATCATAGGTCAGAGAAGCATGCCTTTCAGAATATAAGTTCTTTTCCTTCAAGGATTTATCAACTAGTCTGATTACGGAAACTAGGGCTGTTTCAGCTGCGGGGTCGTTCGTGAAATTGCCTGCTGTATAATCTTTAAAAAGTTGAACAACCTCTTCATAGTATTCAGGCCTGTCCACCTTTTCATTCTTTAATTTTTTAATCAAGTAATCAGCAAATTTAACATCCCCATTCTTAAACTTCAAGAAAGATATAGCCTTCTCAAGAAGATCAACATTTCTTAACGGCAAAATATTCACACTTAAAGGTGGATTCGTTGAATTCTGCTGATTAATATTCCATAGTCTTCCTTGAGTCCTTAGAGCTAGAACCAACGACATAAAAGTAGGCACTGAATATTTGTCATTCGCAAATTGCATCCATGACGCGTCCTTCGGAACCATTTTGCCTAAATGTGAAAATTTAGTTTCATTGTCAAAATCTGAAAACGAATCACTCAACTTCTTTCTAAGCGTCTTAAACAAATCAGCTTCACCTTGCGCATCTCCTCCTTCTCTAATTAGTTTTGGGATCATATTCAAGTTAAACAGCTCTAAGTATCGTAATAATAGGAAGATTGAAATGGTTCTGGGAGAGTCAAGACAATCACCATCTTCATCATATTGTAGGACCCTATGCAAAATCTCTAACTTCTGGGATATTTCCGGTATCTTTTCAAATGTTTTTATTGAGATTTGAGTCAAAGCTTTTGAATAAATTTCACGAGCCCTTATTGGGATATGAAAGGTATTGACATCTGAATTTGTTAATAATTGTGAAGAGGCCTGGGCAACGATAAAATCGCCTCCAATCTCTGATGAATCAACATGACCATTATTATTATTATCGTTATC